CCAGCTTGTTCCATAGCCTGGGAAGTCTGTTAAAATTAAAATGACTAGATGAGGAATATCTCGCATACTTATGAGATAGTTTACGATTGTGCAACCTGGTGAAAGATGAAGAACATATTCTGAGATGTCAAATGCTGGGTTGGGAGATTGATTTTATAAGGAATAATTCAACAACAATAAAAAACAAAAATAATAATAGGACAGAGTAGTAAAATAAGTTAGGGGAAAAATAATTAATAATAACACAAATAATTGAGACCTGACTATGAATCTGTTGATTCATTTGAAATCTCTGAGGAACAAATGCAACAGCAGTATGGCAAGCCAATAGTATCAAAATTCGACTATCTCATGCAAGGACATCAAGATGCTACAGGACAACTTAAGATTACAAGTTGACTTGTAACTGGAAATCGACTTAAAACTACGACGACTTGTATTTTTATAATGAAGAGGGAGGGGTATAAATAATTATTATTATAGATATTATCTATGTTATAATTTACTTAATTAAAATTAAAAACTGAATAAATATGGCAGAGCTGAGACTGGCACCAGTTGGACTGATCATCAAATCTCCTTATTGTTGTATTATAAATACCAAGAGTGGATAAGGAGGAGGGGAGAGTGTCTAACTGCCCTATGCTGCTAGTGATATGTGTGCGTAGAAGTCTTTCACAGTTTGTTTAGCACCTTCTTTGACCTGTTTAAACATCAACAGCCATGATAGTAAATGGGTGTGTTTTTAATAACCTATATGGTGCACCCACCCACACGTGTAGTCACGATGTTTCAAGAGGAAGAGTCAGAACTACAGTACAATCCAGATTGAGAGCATCTAATCTTGATGAGCGCCATGCCACTACACCTAAGCGCCCTAAAGCATTAAGAAAGAGGACATGGAGCCAAGAGTCAGAAGCCTCTGCTCCAGTGAACTCAGATCTGTAATACTTCGTTTTTAAGATCAACAGCAGTTAACAGCCCGTCTCAAAAGTACATGTACCACATATTCTTTCACTTCTATTATTATCCTTACTCTTGATGTTGTGGGTCCCAAGGGACCAGACTAAAAGAGGATGATCATTGATCAAGAGCTTTTCATGTGTCAATAACAAACATGGTTTGTGTGTTTGGAAACTACAAATCTCTTCAGAGTGGTACAAAGTGACTGGTACAACAAGGTGAGGTCAAATTCTGCTTCCAAGGTCTCTGGTCCAGGCTCTTGCTGCTCAGTTCAGCAGCCATTTTTATATTACAGTTAACTTAAGTACACGCCCAACTATGGCTTCAGTGCAGTTATCACTTATTGTGCTAAATAAGGTATGCGGGAATGTACAAATAATAACCATGAAACTTCTACGCGCACATATCACTAGCAGCATAGGGCAGTTAGACACTCTCCCCTCCTCCTTATCCACTCTTGTAAATACTCATATTTGGGCCCGGAATTGTGAAATCATTGTACTCTTACTAAGAATCAATGCTTACTGATTTCATAGTTTCCATCCACCCATCAGAAAAATCCATAGCAACTAGTCCAATGGTGAGTATTTTGACTGGTAACTTCAATAGTACTTTGGTATTCTTGATATAAACATCATGCACTGAATTCACACACCTTCTAAGATCTGGGCAGTATAGTGACTCCTCCGGCACCGTGCGTTTTTCAGTTCAGCCGGAAACTCTAGCGTTATGAATATGAACATTTATAATTTCCATTGGCAATACCATACTGTCTGCCACAGGATAACAAGAAAGATGATATTTGAGAAAAATAATCAGTCCCACTGATGAATTTCTTCAGTTTACAAAGGGTTAAAATTTTACTCCTCCCTCTAGATCTTATTAGAAATTGTGATCTTAAGCCGTCTTGTGATCTTAAGTCGTCTTGTGATCTTAAGTCGTCGTGTAGCATCTTGATGTTGTGGTATATCTCTATGTATGAGATAGTCGAATGACGATACTATAATGTCTTGCCATACTGACACAACTCAAGAAATTATGAGCAATGCATCTAGACATAGACTATAAGTGAAGTATAGTCTCCTTCTGAAGTTGCAGCAGCCCAAACTCCTGATCAGGCCACAACACAGGTAGCAAGGTAATTGATAGCAAAGGAGAAAAGTAATAAAACACCAGATAACCATGATAACCATGATAACCAGTTATCGGACAAAATAGTGAAAAAAGGATCCCCCTATAACTGGCCACATATGTTTTTGTTTTGTTACTGTTTTAATTGAGTTATTATTAATAAAATTTTAAATTAACAGCAACAATTAATTTCATATAATAAATTTATATCTGCATGTATAGTATTTATTCCTTCTTTTCTTCTATGCTTTTCATTACTACACAGTAAACAATGATAACAATAATTATATGGTGATAATAAACTCTGGAATATGTTGCTACTTTTTTAATTTCCATCTCTTACCAGATCAGTACAAACTGCTGTCACAAAGTAAAGAAGAAGCAGCTTGTATGTTGCTTACTGTGCCCAGGCTAAATCTATCTGAAACTCACCCGTATGCGTATACCATTTGTTGATAAGAATATTCTTTTATATCCATGTCAATTAAAAAAGCACTATGATACATACATGTATGGTGTATACATTATATAAGACGTGTACTGTTTGGATATCAAAGTTTGCCACTAATTTTTATCTTTCTCTTCACTCTTGTCAATTGCTTTAATACAGCACTTCCATTTCTCTTCAGTATTGCTGTGTGGTGATTCATAGTGTTGAAAAGACTTCATTATAGTGAAGT